ATCGCTTTCAGATTCTTTTATGTTTAACTTTGTTTATTGATATAAAGGGGTGTTTTATTTTTATTCCGGCCAAGGTGCATGACCGTACATTTTGAAATATTAAATTTCACAAGCCAGTCTTAAATCCACTTAAAAGCTAAATCAAGATCTGATAAGAAAGAGTTGATGCACTGGAAAGCATTTCATTCAAAATTTTTGTGTCATCTGCATACAGCTTGGTTGGATTTTTTAGAATTTTAGGCAAATCATTTATAAATAGAACAAACAAGAGTGGTCCAAATACTGACCCTTGTGGCACATCACTGGTAACTTCTGCCCAAGAGGATACATTTTTGCCTATCATAACTCTTTGTTTTCTTTCTTTTAAAAATGCTTCAATCCATTGTATTGTCAGACCAGATATTCCATAAGCTGTAAGTTTAAGCAACAATCTTTTATGGGGCACTGTGTCAAATAAAATCAACAGGTTTACCATTTTCTAAGGTGGCTGAAACAAGTGTTTCAAGTAGACTTGTTAAGCATGATTTATTTTTAACAAAACCGTGCTGTTTCTTGACTGTTAATTTGAATTTATATAAAAAATTTTCAAGTTTACATCTGATTATACCTTCCATTATTTTACATGCAATTGAGGTGAGTAATACTAGTCGGTAGTTTCCTGCTAAGGTTTTTTCACTTTTTTTGTACAGAGGAGTGATATTTGCTGATCTAATTACATAAATTACACTGGCAGTTTGCTGGTTTCAAATGACTCTTTAAAAATATACGTAAGTGGAATGGCAAAGGCTGATGCAAAAATCTTTAAAATAGCTGGATGTAAATTATCAACACCACTTGATTTGTTATCTTTTAAGTTTTTTAGTCTTAGATAGACATCTTAGATAGACATCTTCATTTGTCATAATGAATGTTTCAGTAGTTCTTAAATCAAAAGAAGGCATTAGGCCATCATCCTCTTTCACAAATGCAGCCCGAAAATTAAAATATCAGCAATATCTTTTAAAGTGGTTTTACCATTTTCTCCCTGTAACGCTTTTGTAGTATCTTTGACTGCTTGTTGATTGTTCATGTAGTTTCATTTTGTTGTTTTATTTTAATACAGCAATATATTAAACGACTTGTTTTGCTTATTATTATAGCATGCAGATTTTTCATAATAATAAAAATAAAAAAATAGAACATTTGGGTATTGTTTAAAAACTTTAGCATATAAATTTGCCAAATAGTCACACACGAGCAATGAACGTCTGAGGAGAAAACAAATTACATTAGAATAGAGGAGAATTATTTTTCGAACAATGCATACTTTGACATTTTGTCAAGACAAAAATAAAGATTAATAAAAGAATATTTAAAAATATATTAATATGATGACAAAAATAAGTGTAACCCAAACAGTACTTAAACTCTATATACATAAAATTTTTATGTATATAGAGTTTAAGTATTGTTTGGGTGCAAACAATGCACCCAAACAATACTTGAGCCGCCGCAGCGCACTTGCTTCATAAATAAAGGATCGTTTGTTCAAACCCCACCTCTAGGCAAGTTTTGCGATATCGGTTAGGAAGGAGGCGTAAACCTTTAATTAAATGTCATCCGCGGTGGTCTGTGATAAGATCGTACGGACTTCTTGTGGCATCTAAAGAAAATTAAAATTTTTTTTTTGTGTTGTTGCTCCACACCATGAACTTACCACACCATAAACTTACATCAACCTATGCTGAGCTGAAAAATGGTAAAAGAGATTTGGCACAAAAGAAATTGTGAACTATCTATATTTCAATAGGATTAGTAAAACATTCAAGTCTACTGCGTATTCTCATGCGTGGTATAATGAAAAATCATATAAACTACCGCTATTTCGATACATTGTGTTGAATTCAATTAATTAAAGCCAAATTGTTATAATGCTTGCCGACATAGGACCAGATGAAAACCCAAAGTATCAAAAAACGATTGAAATGTCCATTCATAACCTCTTACTTTTTCTTTGGAACATTTAATAATTGCCACAAATGAAAAAAAAAATATGCATTCAATTCAGTTGAACAAAGAATGAAAACACTTTCACGAGAGTTTCCAGGACTAATTTTGCCTGAAAAAACTAACTTACAGTTGTAAAGAGAAAGGTTTAAATATGCTGACAAAACCATAGCTGAAATGTTTTCCAACGTAGTGATAGAAACCAACGCAAAATTTATTGACACACCAAATTCATAAATCGATAACAAAGCGGTAATTAAAAAAGCAAAAATGGATTGCTGTTCATGAAGAATCAAATCAATAAATGTTGCAGATTTCAAAATGTTCTGTAAATACTGTACTAGACCGCAAAGAAAACTATTTTCTAATTTTTTTTTTTTAATTTTCTTATTTATTAAGTTATTGCTCTATTATTTATTGAGAATTTCTAGTAAGTCAATAAAAGTGTCAAATCTCTTTTATCAATTTTGTTCGAACATGTTGCTTCAAAAAACATAAGTTTTACTTAGTAATAACAAAATAATTCATCCAAATAAGAAGATCGAATCCTAAAAGTCAAAGAAAATTATTTAAAGTAAAGAAAATTAAGTACTCGCTTACTTAGAAGACGATGGGTGTTTTGAAACATTAGAATGAATAGATTGAAATATTTATGAAGTAGGAGAATTGAACTTTATATATATATATATATTTTTTTGTAGAGGTTATGAACAAGAACAGCCAAATCAGTTTTCTTCTACTGCAGAACATCTTGATCATGTTTGGAAAAGTATGAAGCAGTTGAAAAATATGATCTAAAGGGAAGAATGCTTGTTGTTTTTTAAGCAAAAAATAAATTTTATTGTGACATGACAATAGATTGAGGGAGCAGGGATGGATCCAGAGTATCTAGTAAAACAAAGGGGGAGGGCATTTCTAGGTTTTTTGATTCGGTAAATCCAGACATTTAGGTTTGAATCATAAAACTTTTTAGTTCGTCTTTTTAAAATATTTTTCTTATACTGTCTGAATCTATGCAATTGATATCCCAACAGTCCGATTTTTTTTTGCATCACACAAATTTATCAAAATTTCTTATCACTTTTAAAGAGCCTCCCTAATTTACTTCCGTTTTCATACAACATGCTTTGTTAGATATATAAATTTACAAAAAAAGAGGCGCGCGGGGGGGGGGGGTGAATTATTCTTATTGTCCTTTCCATGGATCCATCCATGGTGGTGGTGGTGGGTGGTTACACTTTCAATAAAGTTTTACACTTTGTAACAAAGAGAGAGGAGGGGAAGGAGGAGGTTTTTTTTGAATGACGTAGTTGCTAAAGACCCCTAACTACGGCTTGTGTTAACGATTTATTTATTGTTTTCGAGCCTGATTTCTATCCTAAAAATTCAATAAAGATGAAGTTCAGTTTAAAGTTTCTTGTTCTTGTACAAAACGTTTTTGTTTTGTTCTTGTACAAAGCGTAGAGTGTTTAAGTGTTTGTAATATAAAAAAAAATCTTTACCGTAAGACTATGATTATGTCTTACTGATTAAATCAGAGCAATTGATTACAATATAAGTAATTCACTATCATCATTGCGTAATGATAGTGAATTACTTTTATTGTAATCAATATAAGTAATTCACTATCATTACGTAATGACAGATAAACTAGATGCTGAATAATTTTTATTTATATGCTTAGATAAACTAGATACTGAATAATTTTTATTTATATCTTATCATAATATTAGAAATCAATGTCAATTATTTCAAACTTAAAATGTCAATAAACATTGCAATTATAAATGTGTAGTCTTATATAAGACTACACGTTTATAACAAATGTGCAATGTTTATTTACATTTTAAGTTTACAAAATCAAAGTCTTTTTAACACATTACATAGTGTTAAAAAGACTTTGATTTTTTAACTTAAAAGTCAAATAATTGAATCATTCCTTTCTAAACTCTAATTTCTATTAATTCTCCTTCATTTGTGGTATGTTTAAATAAAAAAAAAAGAAGTTTTTTTGAAAAAATTAATTGTTATAGTTTTACAATTAGTACATCTCAAATGCTTGCAATCTTTTGTAACCTAGTAAGGCCCAATTCTTTTGAGAAAAACTTCTTGTAAACTGGCACCCTCTGAGAGTTAACTTTTAGAAAAGTAATAAACTTTATATAAATGCTATGACACAACCTTGCTACATTTTGAATGTGCATAAGTAAGCATTTGCTAAAGTTGTCTATTTTTCATGCTTGGGCTAGTTCTTTCAATGATGATATTTCTCTTGTAGACAAGGTCCAAAAATGTATTTTAAATATAATGAACCTGCTTTAATTGCCAGTTTGAGCCTTTTTCCCATCATAGTAATGTTATATCCCTTTCTCTTTTTTTAAAATCCTACAATAGTGGCTGCTCTAACAAGCTATAATCTTTAGTAACATGAACCAAAGTTCACTGTCGAATAAGATTTGCAATTTTTTTTTTTGCTTTTTATTGTTAAAAAAAATGATTATCCTAAATTTTATTTTCTTAGATTTTTTTTGTTTTTTAATTTACAAATCCAACATATAATTTTAATAGGTTAAATCGATTTTTACAGCTATATTAAAAATTTTGTATGAAAAAAAAAATAGTGTAAAGATATAAAACCGGTTAACTAGTTTTACAATTTAAAAAAAAAACAATCGCTTGTTTGAAATTCTCCAAGCCCTATGACATAATAAAACATTGTTAAAATTCAGTGATACAGTATTTATTTTATTTGTATATAATAGTTTATTATTTTATGCATAAAGTAAAAAATTACAATTTTATTACATGGTACCTACACACATAAGAAATTTCTTGAACCAAATAAATATTTTTTATTCTTTTTTATTTTCTTCTTTTTTTAAAAGATTATTAGAAAGTTTTATCTTAATATCTCTTAAAAGAAATTTAAAATTTTTAAATGTATATGTGTGTTGGTTTAATATTGCCTTATTTGCATTCTTATGTTTGATAGGAAATTAATTTTTTTAATATAGTCATATTTTTGCTTGAAGAATCCTGGAAAGTTAAAGCAAAGCTTTCAGATCAGTTCACTTCTGAAATTAAAGGCCATGGTATATTTTTTCATATTCTAATTCAATGAAGTTTAATTTTTTAACAATTTTTTTTTTTTTATAAAGAAATTTACTTTCAAACAGAGTTGTTAGTCATTGGCCTTGATCTTAGCCTTGCCTTAAGGCCTAAAATTGAGGCCTTGGCCTTGGTCTTGGCCTTAAAACAGTTGGTCTTGGCCTTGAAAATTTTGGCCTTGGCCTTGATTGTTTTGGTCTTGGCCTTAGAAAAAAGTACATTTTTCTTATTAGTTTGTTGAATTCTGCCCATAACATTGGTCTATTTTTAGAAAATGTGGTTTTATTGTCACAGCACTTGCTACTTACAGTTGCGTTAATAATTGGCCTTAACGTAAGGCAAAAGTTAAAGTCTTTGGTCTTGAAAATGTTTGCGTAGGCCTTGGCCTTGAAACTCTTAATCAGGTCTTGATCTTAAACTCTTAGCCTTGGCCCTGTAACTTTTGGACTTGGTCTTGGCTTTGGCCTTGAAATGCGTGGCCTTGGCTTTGGTCTTGATACTTTTGGCCTTATTAACAACTCTGCTTTCAACAAGATTGCAAACAACCACAATTTAAGTTAGAATTTATTATGATTTAAGTTGAAAAGGTTTTGATTTAAGTTAAAGAGCAAGAAGAGAGTTCTCATTTTCACTTTATAGTGAAGGCGAGAGTTAAAGGGCAACAAGAGTTTTTCAAGTTTTACAAAGGCTAGAAGATTTAAAAAACTTTAAACTGTATGAATCAGGAAAACATATGGATGAAAAAGAAATCAAAAACACTAATGTTCAAGGAAAAATTTTAGATTAGTATAAGTTATTTGAGCATGAAGTTGAAGTTATTTGAACATGAAGTTGAAGTTATTTGAACATGAAGGTTGAGTTACAGTAATCTTACAGTAAAAAGATGCAAACTTGCTGAATAATGATTCACCATTGTAGCATTTTAAAAATGAGAAAAAGAAAGTATCTTTTATTAAAGGAACATATACGGTAAAAAAAAGTTAAAAACTATCTATAAATTAAGTTGTTGTTATAATGCTGCAACATTAAATACTGACAAATCTTCTTTATTCATGATAAAGTTTAATTATTTGTAATAAATTACTGTCTCAGTTTAGAATTCTTTCTTTTAAATCCATTTCTTTTTTGACTAAATAAAAAATTAATTTCATTTAGATTTATTTTTACCAAACACAAAGAGTGATTTGCTTAAAGAACATCAGGCAGAAGAAAAAAGTATTATATATTGTTTATTTAGTAATATATCTAAAAATGACTATATATATATATATATATATATATATATATATATATATATATATATATATATATATATATATATATATATATATATATAATTTACGAATATAATATAAATTTATAAGTTATTTTTTTATGCTGTTTCATTTTATTTTTAGTTTTTCATAACATTTGTAGTTCTAACTTTTTATTTTCATTAGTTTTATGGAGAGTTGTTTTTTTATTTGACTGAATTTGTGTTCATTATTTTGAAATATTTTAAAATTATTTTATATTCATTTTTACCTGAATGTTATTTCTCTAGCCCAGAGCTTGTACACATTTGGAGTAATAGAAGAAGGTGACATAAAAGTCACAGAATTGTTTCATGAACTAAAAGCTGAGAAAAAAACAAATTTTTGGAGCCAATCAAGTTATCATTGGGATCGTACAGCAGTTCCTTACAAAATTAATTCTGATATTAGTAAGAATTTAGTAGTTATGAAAAAAGTAGTGTTTGTATTGTTTCCCATTTTGTTATTTTTCTTATTTTTATATTGTTATCTTCTAATATTAATGTTATTGTTTTCCTTTTATTTATTTTTTTATTATCATAGTTTAACATTAATTAGCATTACTTAGCATCATTCAGCATTATTTAGCATATTTTTATATTGCTCTTATTATATTTCTATATTTTAATCATGTTGTTTAAAAAAAATTAAATCATAAATCATGTCTTATTAAGTTCAAGAGAATTTTCTCACCATGAGCTGTTTTTTTCTTTCTTGTTATTTGTTTTTTATTTAGTAAAAAATTACACATTTGCTGTTTAATTACTTGCATATAATTAATGAAGTTTCTGTGGTGCACACCGATCTTTTTTTCAATAATGGTAGCTTATTTGACTATATTTATATTGAACAAAGAAAATTAATTTGCTTATAGTTTCTAAAAATTTACAGTACTAATAAAGTATATATTTATTATTAATTAACATGGGTTTTCATTTAAATCTTATTTCTAATCATTGTTGTCTCATGAGGTCTAGATTCTTGTCATTGTCTCATGAGGTAACTATATTTTTGCTGTCACATAACAATAATGTGAACAGTAAAAAAAAAAATAGTCAAAAGTTAAATTGAACTATTTACAATTTATTAACAATAAATCAACATATCTAAAAATATTAGGTAAATTACAATTTTTTAAATTTTACAATTTAATAAATTGCAAAAGTTAAAAAAGAAAAAAAGTTTAAAAAAGTAAGGTTTACATTTTATTAAAAATATTTTAAATGTTGTTTAGATACAAACTTGAAAAATCCAAGTTGTGCTGGAATTGTTGATGTAGGCTTTATAATCGACTCATCTTGGAGTTTAAGAGACCAATATCATCAAGAAATAGAATTCCTTATAAATCTTGCAAAGACATTTAACATAAGCAAGAATGGTGCACATGCAGGTGTTATAACATTTAGTTCCAGAGCAGTATTGAATATTAAACTAAATCAATACTATGATCAAGAACAGTTTGAGTTTGCTATTGATGAAATACCGTATATGGGTTATGTTACACGAATCGATTTAGCTTTACGAAAAGCTTTAGAAATGTTTGATGAAATAAATGGAGCAAGAAAGGACATTCCTCAACTTTTGTTTTTGTTAACAGATGGTGAACAATATGCAGGAGACGGCGTTGTAGATGAGAATCCTGCAAATGTAGCGCAACTTGTACGAGATAGAGGTATTGAAATTATTGCTGTTGGAATCGGTTCTGGAGTAAATCAATCAGAATTAAATAGTATTGCAGGTTCAAGTGAAAAGGTATTTTTGGCAGAAAACTTTGATGAGTTGATAAACAAGAATTTTTTAAAGAGAATAAAAGATGGCACCTGTTTAGGTAATAGCTAGGTAACATTTTGGTAGAATTTTAAAGTTAAATAAAAAATTTTTCTAATCTGCTATACCGTATGTAGATAACAGTTTGTTACTTGTTTTTTTTACCTTTATAGCATACAGCATTTTCAGAAAATGAAGAAAAAATCAAAAAGTAATGAAAGAGACCCCATACCAAACCCTAAGTCAATATAGTGGCATGTGTGTGTGTGTATATATATATATATATATATATATATATATATATATATATATATATATATATATATTTATATATATATATATATATATATATATATATATATATATATATATATATACATATATATATATATATATATATATATATATATATACATATATATATACACACACACACATATATATATATATATATATATATATATATATATATATATATATATATATATATATATATACATATATATATACACACACACACATATATATATATATATATATATATATATATATATATATATATATATATATATATATATATATATATATATATATATCAGCCCTAGGAATAAAGAAAAATAAGGTTGGCCAATTTGCCGACTTTATTCTGTGTGAGGTTGGCATCAGGTTGACAGAAAAAATGTAAAACAAAGGTTTGACCATAAAACATAGAAACAAGGTCAGCAATTTTTTGCTGACCTCAAACACTTCTAAGTTGGTAGATAGGTTAGGATTGCCGAATGCCTAATTCCTAGGGTTGATATATATATACACACATATATGTATATATACAGGGGCTATTATAGGAAAAAAATTTGGGTGGTGGTACCCCCATTCTGGAGAAATTTGGCAGATATATTGCCAAATATTGGCATTTTTTTTTGCGAAAAAAACAATATTTGCCGTAAAAAGAAAAAAAAGTAGCAAGAAAAAAAAGGTCCTCTATTTTTAATTTGGGCCGCGCCCAAATACGGTCGACGCTGTCGAAAATGATCTAGAATAGTCTGATATATATATTTTTAAATCCATATGCTTTATTCAAAAAAAAAAAAAAATTAATGATAAAAATTATTGCTGCTCAATATGTGTGTGTTTGTGTGTATAAATGTAAATTACAATAATAAATAAAAAACTTAAAAGAAAATGCAATCAAGAATTTAGAAACTAAAAAAGCTGTAAACTGATTTGAATAAATTTTTTTTATGCATAAAAAAAAATTATTTTTTCATTTTCTTTATTTTTTTAAAGTTTATTTAAAATTAAGTTTTTAAAATTAATTCCTCAATTTAGGAATACTAAATCAAAAGATTTAATATTCCTAAGCATTCTTATGACTCATGCTCTTTCTTATGGCTTTCTAAAGTCATCATTATCATCAATCAGGGAAAAAATATAGTTTTAGTGTTTTCATTCTTTATTTTCATTCTTAATCGATTTTGATTTTTTTTTGTTGATTCTATTTATACAAATTAAGCATAAATTATGTATTAAATTTTTTGTTTATAATTTTTTTATTTTTTTATTTCAAGTTTATTTAGAAAACACTAGAAGCTTCAAAAACCAAAAAATATAAAGTAAAAATGAATAAATAATCAATCAAAAACCAAATGTTTAATATATTAAATATCACAGGTTTTTACTAATGTTTTTAGGAAACACTGAAAACGAGTTTAAGCTTCATAAAAGTAATCTACTTGCTACCTTATCAGTTATTGAAGAAGAATTCATTATATCTTTTGAAATAAAACCAACTCTTTATTCTCGTGGTCTTCATAGTGTCTTTCGGATAGAATTGGAAAATGATAGATATATAGCAGTTTTGTTTTCAGATGATGGAAGTGGAACTCTTATTATTAAATCAGTATTTGGTACAATAGATGATGAGATTCAATCAAATAATAATATTTTACTTTCATCTTGGACTGCAGTAAAAATATCTCAACAGCGTTTAAATAATAAATACACTTATATGGTTGAAGTAGGAGGTAGAGTTTTATTTTCAAAAGAAAACTTATTTGCAAAATCATTTTCATCTGTAGCTGTTTATGCTGCAGATAAAGAAAATGTTCCTCAAGATGGGTTCATCCGGAGTTTGAGCATTAAGAATGGGAATGAAGGTATATTGTTAATATGGTTTTAAAACACTTATTTAATATTTTTTTAACTTTAAAAAAAAAATACAGTTAATAATTTATAATTACATAACAATAATGAACTGTAAAACCGGTCAAGGCAGTATATATATATATATATATATTTATATATATATATATATATATATATATATATATATATATATATATATATATATATATATATATATATATATATATATATATATATATATATATATATATATATATATATATATGTATGTTTATATATATATATATATATATATATATATATATATATATATATATATATATATATATATATATATATATATATATATATATATATATATTGCCAAATGATCTGTTAAGCACAACTGAAATAAATATTTGAATAAAATTAACACTTTTAACACTTTTAAAATGTTTGTTATACATGTTTCGAACTACATAGTTCATCATCAGTAAAATTTACAAAAATCATTAAAAAACCGTTTTTATAAGGGATACAAATTAATTACTTTATTACAAAAATCTTTTATAAAATTCATTACAAAGGGTTAAAAAGACCATTAAAATACAATAACAAAATGCGACAGTCTCAAAACTCAATTTAAAAAAACATAATAGGTACAAATAGTTAAAAAATTTTTTTTCATAAAATCAACGTCATAATAGACAAAATAGTTCAAGAATTCTATGTTTGACTTGTTTATTTAAACAGGGCCATTTTGCCACTTTATATGCAAGCTTTCCTTTATTTCTAATTCATACTCCCTTGAGCAGAATCCAAAATAAAAGAGCAATCAGAGGAGGCCTTTGACCAATCAGAGGAGGTCAATGTTTTTCATTAAATGATGAAAAATGTACAATTTTTTATCTTCCTGGTAATGTTCATCAATGCGTTGTAAAAAGTTTCAGACAGTTCGTCCTATGTAGCAAACATTACAGTTAGCACAATAAAATTTGTAAACAATGTTTGATTTACTATTTCTTAATAGTAAGTCTTTTAGTGAAAAGTATTGCTTAATTTTAAAAGACGATAATTTGATAATTAAATCTTTTTTACATTTCTTTTTAGTTAATTCATTAATTTTGTTTTGAATATTTCTAGAACCATCACCTATATATGGCAACCTAAAATATTTGTAATTAAGGGATTCGTTATTGTTGAAATTAGATGTAACAAATTTTTTATTTAAATAGTTGTTTGTACATTTATCAATAAGTTTAATTGGATACTGATTTTTTAATAAGATTATTTTTAGGTTAATAATATCGTTATGGTAACCAAACCAGGTATTATTAAATTTAAAACAACAGTCAATAAGAGTTTTAACTAGCCCAAGTTTGTAGCTAATTAAAGTAAAGCTAAAAAAATTTGTCAATAGACCAGTATATGTCTCCTTATGATTAATATTAATGATCAAATCATAGTTATTTTCAATGCAAACATTTAAAAGTGGTAAAATACCATTTTGTTCATGTTCGCATGTAAATTTGATATTACTATGTTTAGAATTTAAATACTCTAGAAAAATAGTACTATTGGTTTTTGAGTAAAATGATGAATTTTTCTTTATGTAATTTCTGTAGAAAACAATATAATTGCCCTTGTCTTAGTAGAATAGGATCTTTGTCTAATAATTTAAAATTATTTTTATCTTTAATAATTTTATAAATAGCTTCATTATAATCATTTCTATTTAAAACCGTTACTCTGTTACCTTTATTAGGTCTTAAAATAACTGTATTTTTATTTTGTTTAATTTTTTTAAGAATACTACGTTTACTATAAGAATACTATATTTAGTTTTAGAGGGTTTGTAATTACTATAATAAGAATGTGCAATATATGCTAATTCAGTTTTAATCTTATAAGAATCTTCTTTATTTTTTAAATTAAAATTCATTGATTAATAAATCATTTCAAACGAAGGAAAAATATTACTCCTAATAAGTCTATTAGGAGGAATAGAACGATTAAGACCATTTTTCAAAATCTCCAAATCATCCTTTGTCAAAGCAAAGTTAGATAAATTTTTTATTATTTGTTCAGAAGTAAAAGTTTTATTATTAGTAAGATATCTGAATTTTTAATCACGATTTATATTAACTTTATTTATATAATTGTTCACATTTTTCAATAGCGCTCTTGTTAAAAGCACCCAATCCAATCCCGTCAAAAGTGAGCATAATGTTGTTTCTTTTTTTTTGAGTTCTTTTTCAAATTTTTTATATCCTTCTAACCTTCTTAAAATTGTACTTTAGAGTAGTCTTTTTTCAATTGCCTTTGCATTATGTTTAACAGCATTAGGATGAATTCGAAAACAAATAAAATTTGGAGATACAGAAGATTTAAGAGTCGCAACTTGCTTTCTTTACTTTAAGGTCTAGCTGCTCAATTTTCGAATATTTTTGTGCTAAATTGTGTAATATATTGCCAAATATGATCTGTTAAGCACATATATTGCCAAAGCATAATATATTGCCAAAAATGATCTGTTTAGCACAATTAAAATAAATATTTGAATCAAATCAGCAACACTTTTAAAATGTTTGTTATATTATTAGGATGTTTAGAATACTCTAGAAAAATAGTACTATCGGTTTTTGAGTAAAATGAAAAATGGTCTTAATCATTCTATTCCTCCTAATAGACTTATTAAGAGTGATATTTTTCCTTTGTTTGAAATGATTTATCAATCAATGAATTTTGATTTAAAAAAAAAAAGAAGATTCTTATAAGATTAAAACTGAATTAGCACATATTGCACATTCTTATTATAGTAATTACAAACCTTCTAAAACTACACAATGTAAATATAGTACTCTTAAAAAAATTAAACAAAATAAAAATTATTTATTTAGTTGTTTTAAGACCTGATAAAGGTAACAGGTTTTAGATGATAAAAATAATTTTAAATTAAAGACAAAGATCCTACTATATTAAAACAAGGGCAATTATATTGTTTTCTACAGAAATTACATAAAAAGAATTTTTTTTTACTAATGAGCAATATAAGCAAATCTATCCAACAGGATCACAATCAGAACGTATATATGGCCTACCAAAAATGCATAAAATATTTGAACAAACTCTTAATTTCAGACTGATTGACTTGTTTATTTAAACAGGTCTCCACCTGTTTAAATAAACAAGTCAAACAGAATTCTTGAACTTCTTTTGCCTATTATGACTTTGATTTTATGAAAAAATTTTTTTTAACTATTTTTACCTATTATGTTTTTTTTTAATTGAGTTTTGAGACTGACACATTTTGTTACTGTATTTTAATGGTCTTTTTAACCCTTTGTATTGAATTTTATAATAGATTTTTGTAATAAAGTAATTAATTTGTATCCCTTATAAAAACGTTTTTTTAATGATTTTTGTAAATTTCACTGATGATCAACTATGTAGTTCGAAACATGTATAACAAACATTTTAAAAGTGTTGTTAATTTTATTCAAATATTTATTTCACTTGTGCTTAACAGATCATTTGGCAATTGCCAAATGATCTGTTAAGCACAAGTGAAATCAATATTTCACTTGTGCTTAACAGCACAAGTGAAATATTTATTTCACTTGTGATTGCCCACAGACTTTACAAGTGTAACCAATGTTTACATTTTGCATGCTAGATAATTTTAGGAGTATTTTACTTAACATAATGGATCTCAAGTACATTGAGACAGCAAGTTGTTACTAGACTTAAGTGGTGTTGACACTAAAAATGTACCTGTTATGATATCATCTCTTCCAGACAATTACTTTAAACTGTTGGGGATTCCAATGCTAACATCAGAAGCAAAAAAACTCTATGAATTTGCTTCTTTAACCATTGGCATTTGCTTTGACATGCCAGCTTCAAATAATGGTAGGCTTTCAGGGAAATGCATTCTTTTAGAAATTTCTGCAGATTATAATCTACTTAAATTTCCTATCATCATCATGTTTGAAATATCTGTATATGTTTTGGTCTGTCCAGTGGTTTTGAAATGTTGCTTTTCAAGTGAATTAGAGAGAAACAGCATGATTTGCTTTTGTGAGAACCAAAACTATGAACCAAAACTTGTTAATGTTAATTGCTGTCTGTAAGCCATTCATTGTAGACCAATTTTAAGTTCATCATGATTTGATTATATATAGTTATATATAGTCAAAATATACATGTAGTTATACATATACAGTTACATATAGTTGACTACTGAAAAATCATTCAACTTACAAGATGAGAAAACAACATGAATCAATCCTAATGTATGAAAACAACAAGAATCCTTCATGATGGTAAAACCTCAATGACTTAATAGAATCTATAAATATTATCTAAATGATAAATTTATAGTGTAATGTTGTAGTGTCATATGAAAGTTGTCATAGCAACTTTCTAGAGGGTGGGATTTGCTTTTTTAGTTATACCACTAGACTTTAAAAAAAAAAAGTTTTTTTTTTTTTGTTAAAGTCAAGTGGTATAACTAGCATTTTAGCTTTTTTATTATTATCTTTCAAGTCCCAAACCTCCTATGACAGCTCTGTATTAACATAGCATTTAAGGCATAATTTGCATGATTTTGTTGTCAGGTTATATCTTCTAATTATTTTCCAACTAACCACAGAATTTTTATTATTATCTGTCTCTGTCTCTGTCTCGTTTTTATATTTGGGGATATTAAATAATTTCAAATGGTTGGCATATCTCAGTTGAAAAGGTGTTTCACTAATACCAATATATGATATCTTTATTGAAGGGTTATCTGAAGTAGTGGTTACTTGGTATACAATGTTGTAAGTTAAGTGCTGCCTAAAGAATGAGACAATTTGACTGCAGAATATCAGCCCAAAAATCTTCTGGGCGACCAAGAAGCGTGATAACAAAATCGTTCATTACAAAAGTAAAACGAAATATTTGTTTGAACAAAAAAAGAAAATTGGCTAGAAAAATTGCAAAAGAAAGTGGATGCTCAGCTAGAACTGTATCAAGAGCAATCCAAGAA